GCATCACAACATTTTTAAAAAATCAGATGAATTCGTGTAAAATTCCCCTTCATTTCCGGTCTGAAAATATTCTCGCAAGGTCAAATTTTAACATGGCTATAACTCCTATAAAACAGAAAGTTGAAACGTTCTGAAAGAGGCTCGATTAATATTGACCAATGTCTAGTTCATATGCAAAATATGAGCTAAATCTATTTTCCCTTCCCCAAACCAGTGGGTGAATTTTACTGAGAGGCCCTCTTAAGTATGTGTATTCTCGGAGGGGGTTGTTTTATTAGCATAATAATTTGCCCTCACCTATACGGTAATAAAACTACATATAACTCTGCAGAAATGTACCTTTGCATGCATGTAAAATTGTACCAATTAAAGTACGGTTACATTGGCTTTCCGCGTGTATACACCACGTTTTGCTTTGAACAAAAAATCCTTTATAACCAAAACGGTCATCATGGAGCAGACTTTATTATTTTAAAAAACTCGTTATTTTAATAATAATTCATGAGGAAAAGACAAATGAAATCGCTGAAATGTCAAGATTACACGTTCTTTCTCTTCTGCTTCAGAATTTCACTTATCTATTGATTACAGCAGTCTCCAAGTTTCTTCTTCTCTTCGTTTTCTTTGTTTTTTTTTCTCCAGCTCCTTTTTCCAACTTTTTAATATATTTCTTGTCCTGGCGTTCTGCTGCCATATCTTCGTTTTTTCTTGCCATATTTTACTTTTTGTATGAGCAACTCTCACATTTTTTTCTCTTTCTCTACCATGATTTCTTTCAGATATTTGTCACCCTTTTAGCCTTACCCAACTCATGTTTAATTAAGCTGTGTTAATAAAGTAAACAAACCAGGTTATAAAAATTCGAAAACTGAGTGGAGGTTTATGTGTTGTGCCGTGCATGGCCATGTATGACTGCTCTCGTGTCTCGAATAGGTTGTTCGTTCTGCGCGGGTCGTTTTGATTGGAAATGCAGTGCCATGAATGTATTTATGTTTATCTTATTTTAGAAAGGCAAACAGATGAAAAAGCCACACGTCTTCCATAGATAGGGAACACAAAACGGAAGTCATGAAGCAATTGAAAACTGCATGTACATTTACGATTCCTTTTTGAATCGACATTATATAAATTTATAACATCGTAACGAACAGTGTTTTACTTCGATTGGATTAGATCGTATCGTAGTAGATTGTGATCGAGAACGTAATAGATTGCAATGTCCGTATACGTGCAGTTATATTCGTTTTTAAAGGCAGACAACAAAATCTGAGACAGGCCGTAAAAACCACTTGTGCACATTGTTTTTAATTGCGCTTAAAACTATCCGGCACACACTTATTATATAATATTATTTCATGTATTTTTATTATTACTTTCATCGTATAGCTACCGAGTCAATATCTCACCATCTTTGGCGATCAGTTCTCTCTCCTCCGCAGAGCCTCCTTAAGTATTTACAAATAACTTACATGAAGTTTCCTGAATAAAAGTGAGCGAGCGCGGTGTGATGGGAAGTCAGGAAGATTGAAATGAAGTTGGGGAGGCTCTGCCAGTAATACGACGAAGTATGGTTTTTGAACCAAACTAGTTGTTTGACCTTTTTTTAAAATTGAAATCGACGGAAATGTGAAAGAAATTGAAATGAATCTTCACAATCTGAGTATCGAAGTTCAGTAGAGTCATTTTTATAAAGAAATGTTGCAATTAAGAGGATATTTATAATTAGATAGCTCGTCTCCATTGATATTCGTTTGCAATTTCTCAATATTTTTCGACGCAAATGGACAGAAGAAGAT